CAATTAAAATTGAATACATACAAAAAACATCTTTTGTATAATGTGCTATATGCGATAAAATACGTAGAAGTAAAACTAGCAAAATAATCTAAAACTACTGCAATTTACATGGTTCTCTAAACGTAGACGTTCTGGGTATTTTCAATTACTTCGAATGGACAGTTACATTCAGCAATTGTTTTTCATATTAAACTACTCAAAATGATACAATAGAATGGATTCTTATACTTTTTTTTAAATCAGCACCAAATCAAGACAATAAGTCACTACATATAAAATACATTCGATGTTGGAAATGTAAACTAAGACAAATAAAAACCTTAATCACTGTAAATGCAGTATTTTATTTAGTAAAATGATAACAAAAAACTTAACCATCCACCATTAAACAGTTCATCTACAATAAAGGTATAAAAGGTAAATAAAAGTACAAAAGATAAAAATGAGACTATTAAGATATAACCACACACTACATGTTAAATTCACATTTAAAAATCGATATTCTACGTGAAGTAAAAACATACATATAATGAAAAGAGTTACATGCTAACTATAAATTTACATTCCCATTTTTAACTTATGCATATATCACATAAAAATGCCACAGTTTCAAATAAAGATCAAATATGAGGTAATATGAAATGGGAATGAAAATCATAGTCAAAATGAATGAAATAGAAAATTTTGACTAAATAAATTTTAGTAAAGATTTCTTTATGAACATCTTTGATTAAATATCTTAGCAACTCAAATGCAATTTTTAATATTTAAAGATTTGTAATTCTCAGCCATTTTAACCCTTCGCACCCCCACATGACACCAAAATACTTTCGCCAAGACATTTGTTAAGGATATAAAAAATGCTATAACAATAATAATTAATACAATCATACAAATACGAACGGTAAAAACAATAGATCGAAGTTGACAAAAGGAACATAAACTAATACTTGTAGATTTTTACAAAACGAGTTATGTAAAAATACTTACTTATAAAGATGGACACAATGTAGATATGTATCTACTGTCAAATATGATACGAATTACATTAAATTACATAAATGCTGTTGGTTCAATATTCTCAAAGACATCGTATATATGTCAGATGAACACATTAAGTGTCAACAAAGAAATGTGGGGTTTTGTGCATTACTTAGAATTTCAAACGTGTATGTTTGAAAAAGAGATTGCATCAAATTGCTGAGATTATTGAAGTTAGTCCCATACACAATGAATGCATAATACTGCCATGCACATTTATTACAAACATACATGCATCAATTGTCAAGCTGTAATATGGCAATTGAAGAAGATATGTTTCTGAAGTGCATGATTGATATTGTGCAATTAATAATTTTCATGAATAGCATGCATACAGACCATAACCAAAACATGCAAAGCTATACCTAAAAACAATTTGTATTTTAATTTACATTTCCAACTATATACACATATATACAAGTTTATATATTAAATAATTATTAACACTTTGTCAAAGTATAAACTTGTTAAAAAGATTTGGCATTTGAGATTGATTAGTTTCAATTTATGCAAAAGTCTGATTGTGCTCACATCTTTGAAGAACAGCAAACTTACATTTTAAACAAGCACCTTGGAAACTGTTAAACTTTTCCAAACACATTCTTACCACAAGGGATCTAAACTACACATCCACAAATATTCATTCAGAAAAGAAAGTGTGTATCACGCTCATTTGCATTGAAATTTATTAGCACCAAATGAATAAATTAATTGGAATTTCAAACTTTCTATACCAGTAGATGAAATAACGCTATACCCTGTAATGTTTGTTGTTAATGTTAATACTATGTTGTTTATTTAATTCTGCATTCTTAATCTCCTAAATTTGTATAATTTATTTTTGTAACATTTGCAAAGTCACTGAGTCATAGTTTATGTCCTTGCGCTATAGATGTAACTGATGCTCACCAAACCACCTACCACAACAATAAACATCAATATGGCAATTACCAATATTATTAATCTCCTAGAACTTGATCAATCTAGGTTGTCCATGAGACAAACTTTGATTCTTTCTTTCTGTAATTTTTATTGTCTTATTTTAAGGAATTCATAATGTGTAATCACAGCCCAGTTGCTGAGGCTTCTCCTTTTGTGTCTATAGTCGTAATTGCGAGAGGTGGCATATGATTATGTAAGGAATCCAGTATCAAATAAGTTTTCTCACCTACAGTGATACATGTGTTGGTCAATAAAAAAGATAACCAGATGTGTCGAATGTACATTTCAAATGTACACAATGTATGTACACAATGAGAGTCAGTATTACACTGAAAAATAAAATGAATTTTGTAAGTTGGTAGTTTCTGTTGCCAACTAAACTGTCGAACTGTCATTGGCTGTTAATAGTCAAAGGTCCAAAACGCCATCTATCAACCTTCTTATAATGAATGCAGTATACGCTTCTTTTTCTGAGGTCAGATGAAGACCTCTGTATACAAAACACCGGTGAACACAGAGGGAGAACTAGGGCAGTGCTTGCGAGGGTCTGTACCATCATTCAAAAATGCTGCCGGGCTTGCGTTACTGCGAATGGTGACCATTTTGAAAATCAAAATAGAAAAAAATGTTTAGGATAAACCTAGGGATAAACGTAGTAGATAATTTAGGGATTTTATAAATGTTTTACTTTCAAAAATCGATGAAGTGGTTACCAAAAAATCTGGTTTTGATATTTTTGATTGATCTCCATTTTAAAAAATAATTGCAAATACAAATGTTTTAGAGAGCTGAAAGATAGTTCTGAAAATTTTTGTTTTTTTTTCAATAGTCCGTAAAATAAGGGTGTTATGACGATTTTTAATAAGCAAAAGAATGTCGATAATTTCGAAATCAAAAATTGGAACTAAGAAAAGTTGTTTGTTTTCTAGCTGCAGTGTTCGAATTAAGGACTTAGTATTAACACCCTGTATGTGTGCATATATGTTCAAGGGTGAGTCAACGATTACGTGGAGTATCTTAATGTCTTGAAGATAAGATTTTTCAACAAAGTGCTTTTGTATAGAATATGATTAAATATTCTTCACATTTTAAAAATTTTTGAATCATATAGGGTGCGTTCACAAAGTAGAGCGCTAAAAAGGTGCATTTTTTTAAATGGAATCGCCTATGTTTGAATGCAAGCGTCAGTTTATTGTTAAAATTATTACTACTAAACTTCATATTTAGAAATTTCACTTTTTTTAAATGGAACGCCCTGTATATTTTTCTGTCGTCTTTTGGCTCCTCCAAAAAACCAGGACAATTTAACGAACAAGAAATTCACCAAACTAATCAATTATTGACAGACATCAAACTAGTCATATGGGAAAGGATAATGCGAAAATTGGTTCGAAAATGAATAGTGAAAAAACCACTAGTGCATTTGTCGCTGGAAAAGATGCAGGTAACTTTTGCCGCTGTCAAAGTGACAATTGCACTGCGCCTTATGCGATTTTTTATACATGAGTTGAATTGCCCCTGAATAAACGGAAAGTTTGTATATTTTACTTGAATTTCTATATCAGTGTTGTTTTTCCTTCTAGAAATTTGTGTAGATGCGTAATTTTTTTTCTCGCTATTGTAATTTGTTCAATTTAGATAAGGTTACACCTAGCCGTTTGCGATAAGAAGTGTTTTTTCACCAGGTGAAATTTAATTAACACATGTTTTTATCACGGATAAGAGATGCAGGTGTTTTACATAGATTTGTGCGTTATTTCGGCGTAAGTGGGGACGCGTGCTGTCAAAGCTGACGTTATTGAACTCAAGTGGGATTGCCGGTTTATTTAAAAATTCTTGAGGAAGGGGTTCATTTTATGATGATGTTTCGTTAAATACTGCAGACCACGAGAAAAGGGCGTTTTTTCTTTCGCGACGGTTTGTGAGCGTGTACGCTAAATGATGGGGTGTTCCACCTAAGATATATCTGGACCACCAACTTGAAAACATTTTGGGGGAATTCCTCTAAACGAAATTAGATTGCCAAATTTTAAAAATATGCCAAGGTCGAGATATATAGTTAGCCAGCATATGTCATTGGCCACCCTGTATTGCTTTATTCGCTACCGAAAATCACAATTTTTTTAAACCTACCAACTGGTTTTCCTACCAAGATTGCAATAGAGCTCTACATTGCATTTTCAATAGAACTCTTTATTCTAACTATCGTGAATTTATTATGTATTTCATTTACGGTACCTGAAATCCTTCCTATTCTGCGAGTGACTCTTCTTCCTTAAAAGCAATCTTACAATCCTTCTAGTGCTGGTATTGCTAAACTACTATCACACGTCAATCTTTATAAAGCATACGATGGCACTTTCAAGAACTATTCAAGTGATTTTAAGTTTCATATACAATACAAAACAATATATAATTATTTAATTTTGGGAGAAGTCGATATTAAATCGTATTTATAGAACCCCACCATATTGTGAGTGACTTGATTTTATACGATTTCCTACAAAGCAAAAGGTATTTTTATAGTGCTCTACAGATTCCTCTGGCACCCTAAATAACTAAAAATACTAAATGATACTACAATTATATTACAAATTTTAATACTTCATACATAATAGTACCATAAACTTGAGACATTTTAAACATCAATTGCATTGACTAATTGTGAGTTACCATGCCAAACCTTTTTACCTGCCTAAGCCATAAAAAAGATTTCTTATTTTAATGAGATCAATCAAATTTCCGGAAATCAGAACTCTTAACTGCCTTTTCGGTCTTTGACTGTTACAAGATTATTGTGGACGGCACATAGCACTGATAAATAATCTTTAAACAGACAGAAACCCATCACTTAAGATGTAGTAAGTCATGACTTTAACTCTAGTAAAAGGAACTTGTGTCAATCACACTTCATATAAGGGATTAAGCATATAATAACTGTCACTAGACCAAATGGCGCGATTGACACAACTTCTGAACCAGATCCACAACGAGCAATGTGTAGAAATTGGGCTCACCTCTCTATTGTCGTGGTCCTGGGGATCGCTGAATTTGACGGAATGAGTTCGACTGGCCTCCCTCTCTTCCCAGTCTTCATCGCTGCCACCATCATCTGCGGCCAGAGCTCCGTTAGAGAGAGTGGGCGTGACATCACAACGGTACAAGCGGCCATCAGAAGCTGATTAAGTGCAACATACATAGGATAGTGCTTTAAACAATGCGGGTGCAATTGTGTACAAAGCAAGAGTGGATTTTAAATAAATGGCGGAATGCACAAATAAAGTAGTGACAGCACATCGACAATTAAGCATCCCACACTTTAAATTAGATACTTTGTACATAGAAAATATTAAAGAGGAAGAAAAGCATACCTATGATTGTGGGCTGATATTCTTGCTGCGGCAGTAAGAAACACGTGAGAACCGTCTCGCCGGTACCAGGATCCGTATCCGTTTGGAAAGTTAGAAGAGGTTGAGCTTGATTTTCACTTAACCAAACAGCTTTGAGCGCCAATTGGAGCAGAGAAACTGGTAAGTACGGCAGTCGATTTCCAGAAACGTCCAACACATGAAGCCGTTTACATTTTCCTATCGTATTCGGCATTAGTATTAGTCTATTGTCCCGTAAACTCAACACTCCCAATTCCCGTAAATTTCCCACCTCTTCTGGAATTGTAATGAGACTATTTCGGTCTACGTTTAAGTTTGTTAGTTTAACTAGTCTGCCTATATCTTTAGGCAATTCGCTTAAAAAATTCTCCGTCAAAATTAACTCTTGTAAATTAGAACAACATCCTATATTAGAATTTAATACGGTTAGCCTATTTTGGTCCACTTTTAAAATTGTAAGTTTATCTAGCTTGCCTATGCCGTCGGGTAACGTTTCGAGTACATTTTGAGATAAATGTAAATCCGTTAGACTTTCTAAACCTGCCACTTCCTCGGGAAGCGATTCTAGTCTATTTTCAGATAAATCTAAACAGGTTAAGTTTTTTAAATATCCTATTTCGGGAGGTAGCCTTTGTAATTGATTGTGATCCAACCACAATTCTTGTAAAGCTGGTAGCTGCCCTATATGGGTTGGCTGAAATAATAAAACATGGTTAAACTATGCACTTGTAATCAGTTAGAATTTATAAATAAATTAGACTCGAAAATCGTAACCTTTTGGGTTAGGTGTCTCCACCCACTTTAATCAGTGGCTTCATTAGAACCAAAAATTGGGGATAGTTACGCTTTAACTTTCTCTTAAAATGATTCATAAAATCGTTGCGTAAGATGACTTACCAATTCTTCTATTTCATTATCACCTAGATCGAGTCGTTCCAATTTAGATAGTTGCGCCAATGACGACGGCAGTTCCTTAAGTAAATTTTCGCGTAATTCTAAAGATGTCAGCGAGGTTAGCAGTCCAAAGTCTGCAGGTAATGAAGTAAGTGACATATCGTTGAGTCCGAGGACCGTAAGGGCTCGTAGCTGACTGAAAGCAGGCGGTAGCCTTGGAATGGGGTTCGAACTGAAGTCTGCCACCTGAAGAGCTCGCAGTGCTCCAATACTTTCGGGTATGTCTGGGATGTCTGAAAAAATAAACATTTGTTTAGATAATGCAATAGTTCATGTCAAAATTATGTATACTTTTAGAATCCCTCCTATGTTATGCTTTTTTTTAAAAATCCAAGGAACGAGATTTTGAAAAACGGTTTTCACTTGCCTCTTTGGATGTTATTTGGCTACTTCTTCATAAAGAAAAAGTCATATCATTCCATTTGATTTTTTTAATTTATTTAGGATTTTGAGTCATAGTGTCAAAACTAGCCCTCTGGCGGAAAAGGATTCAACTAAATTAACTATATTTTGGTTGATTCTCATCGCTCAAGGAATGCTCTTTCCAACCATACATAATTTGTTAAAATCGATCAAACGGTTAAGAAGTTAAAGCAGATTATTGCAAAAACAATTGAACATCCCACACCATCTTTGTTTTTCAAATTACTGAGTTTTTGTTTTTACGAAAATTATAGATAAACTGGTTCTCTTTAAAATTGTGAAAAAAAAGTTTAAGTTTATTATGCGAAATTAAAAGAAAATCCAATTTGAAAATTTAAGATGGCAGTTACGCCCTCTGCTGGTCAATTTTAGAACTTGAAAATATTTTCCAGCGATTCTTCATGACCGATTTACCCAATAATTTTTTTTACCCCTAAGTCATATTACGAACGGTTCTCGAGATATGGCCGAGGAAGAGTCTTATTGGGTCACCCGGTACATACAAATCAAAACAAATATGTAGTTTTGTTTAAGAATATTTGGGTAATTCGGTTGAAAAGCCCAAATATGGCGTTAAAACTGCGGTGCTTCGTATATCGTGCGAGATATCGAGGAACGTCTGTCATTGAAATTCCAATCAGTCATCCCCTATTTTTATAGAAAAAATCATTCTATACAGTTTCAAATTGATTAATACTTTCTGTTGAACATTTTTAGGGCATTTTTGAAAAAAAATATGCTTATTATATTCGTTCTAGCTGGCTGGCTGGCTGTCCGGCTGAGATCTCATCAATAAAATTACAAATAGCTAGAGACTTCAAATTTTCACTAAAAACTTTCTGCTATAGTGTAGATGTGCAGGGTCTAGTCTACTTTGAGTTAGCTACTCATGAGATAGATAAATTTTAAACTTCGCTAATAAAATAGTGATCGGTAATACCAAAAATGCGCTTTCAACATGAATATGCTGATTTACAACTTGTTTGGTAATACATAAATTGATTTTGCTGAAAAAGTGAAATTGCTATCGGCGCTACTGGTTTAACCTATAGTTTTTCATGTTTCAGTTAAGCCTATCTGATCCTGGTCCTTCGTGTTTTATGTATCCCGGGTTCGATTAACAAATTGCAGCGGATAAGTATGCTCCTCACAGTTCATCATTGTTTTCCCTTCCCTTCAGCCAGGTCGCCAAGACTAGTCGAATATTCAAATTTGCGTCACTTTTTCTGAAATATATGGCGCATTTTTGTGTAATCTAGGAACTACTCCCACAAATTTCTTCGAATCAGAAGTTTTTGGCTGTGGACTGAAACTTAACGTTAATCCGAAGATTTCATTGCCGTTTCTTCAAGATAATAATTGTAATTCTTACAAATATGTCATGTTTTAAGCCTGGAATGAAGTATTTTAGTGACATTTTACGAAAATATTGCCATAATGTGGATCAACGCCAATTCCCATTCAATAGAAGCAGCTCTTCATAAAAGAGAAGCATCTAAATAAAATGGAAGATACCTACAATCAAGAGTCTCACAGTCCCACAATAGCAAAAAAAATAATTAGCAAACTACCTACACTAAAAAATCCATTAGTTGATTTCAAAAATAAAAAAAGAACGATTTGAATTCTTGGCAGTATTGAATGGAATTCGTAAGATCGTTGTCATGCGTTATGGTCATTTAACCCAATGACTGATTAGTATGTATTCAAAGTGAAAGAACCCATCAAAAATTCAAATCTACGATGAATTTGAATTACAATTTGCACTTTGCAATGTAACAAAAATAAATCAATGTGTAACACCTTTAAAGGCACCTGACTATAAATAGATAGATCAGCTATAAATGAAGAGATTCCACGTAACATTTACAGATGTACGAGTGACCTTGCCCTGTTGCAAACTCAAGGTTGCGAGGGTTAAAGACCCAATACATCATGAAATATTTACTTACACACATTAACTGAAGCATTTCATAAATTATTAGCGCCAGTCGATTAAATTTAAGCATAAAATCACTCTTGTGTATAATTAATTAACAATTAAATAAATTAACTATGGTTGCTTTGTGAGGAAAAAGATATCTACTTTACATTCAGCATTAATTCCAATTTTCAACAAACAAAATTTATTACATTATGATCATGATGACATAATAATAACATAGTATTACTTCATACGCCATAAAATAGCACAGAATCATCATTCGTCCGGTTTTTCCGAATAAGAGTGCAGCGTGACCTTGACTCTTCGGACACCAGATTCTGCACCAATAAATGAAATAAACCTCTCGCCAGGAAAGATTGCCGGCCACAGAACACTTGATCCCGATCTACGATCGATGTTTTTCAAAAGATTGTAAGCGACTTCCGGGATAGTATCGTGTCAATGTTGAACAAAAAGACTCTTCGTTCAACATTAGCACGATCCTATTCTGTAAGTCGCTCGCATCTTAAGAAAAACATAGATTGTAGATCGACACAAGGTGTAGTGACCGGCAATCTTTCCTGGCGAGAGTTATATGATATAATTGGGAAGCACTTATAAATGAATTGTCCTTTTTTTCGGCATTGAAACATCCTAATAATCTAACTCGTAATCTAATAAGTAACTGTATTTCATCATGCTTTCTATCTATAGGTGGATTATACACTGTGTCCAAGATAAGGATGTCCGAAACCATAGAAGATACGACGATGGTCAAAGAAGATACGCAATTGAAGTATTAGAAAACCAGAAAATTGTCGATTACTTCGGCACACCCGTCAGAAAAATTGAACTTGGCCGCTTTCGTTATTCTTTTTTTCTGAGGTTTTTGAACAGATACAAAAAAAATCTTCTCATTACCACTTTTTGAGCTCTGAGCGTTGAGCTAACAGTTTCCAACTTTTGATTTTTGAGTGTGCCGTACGGCGCACATCGTTGCATTCGTAATACAAAAAGCTACTCAATATAGTGCGTACTCTTTAGAGACCATATCAAAAAAAAATTATCAAAGTCCTCGTTTGAGATCGAAGGGACTTCAGCGCATTTTTGTGTGGCAGATCAGTATTCTATTAGCCACTTTCGACTCAACCATCAATAACAGATCTTGTCGAAGGCTACTACATTCACTAACCGCTTCCCACTTTCCGCGTGCACCCGCAATTCGCTTTTAAAGATTTGACTCCACCATCAGGAAGATCGTGTCGGGGGCTACCACATTCCCTTTGACGGTACCCACTTCCGACGTTCGGTTCACCCGCAATTCGCGTTTGAAGATTTGACTCCACCATCAGTGAGATCGTGTCGCGGGCTACCACATTCCTTTTTACGGTACCCACTTCCGACGTCCCGTTCACCCGCAATTCGCGTTTGAAGATTTGACTCCACCATCAGGAAGATCGTGTCGGGGGCTACCACATTTCCTTTGACGGTACCCCCTTCCGACGTCCCGTTCACCCGCAATTCGCGTTTGAAGATTTGACTCAACCATCAGGAAGATCGTGTCGGGGGCTACCACATTCCCGTTGACGGTACCCCCTTCCGACGTCCCGTTCACCCGCAATTCGCGTTTGAAGATTTGACTCCACCATCAGTGAGATCGTGTCGCGGACTACCACATTCTCTTTTACGGTACCCACTTCCGACGTCCCGTTCACTCGCAATTCACTTCTATTGGCGACACGAGAAAGAGAGACAGCGATTCGAGATTTACGAAACGTTAAACCGCGTGAGTTCGCAACGGAAGGTAAAAGGCGCCCGAAGTTGACTACTTCTCGAAGACGCGCGCGCGCGCCTCGCAAAAGGTCGTTAATTTCGCCCCTATGACAAAAAACAAAATTCCGCCACGCAGGAGTTGTGCGCGTTTACAACATCTTTCCGACGACACCAATTTGAAAAGAATCGGACCAAAACTGTAGTAGAAGATAGGAAAAAACTGAAAAACCTTCACGTTAGTATACTACGCTCGAGGATGACGCCCAGATGTCGCCAACCCCACATCATGTAGCCATGTCCCTAAGGTTGACAAATTTCACGGCCCTGTAGATACACGTACACCCGTTGCCTTTCTACAAGAGTTCTTCTACGCGCCCACATTTGCTGCCAGCCAGCCAGCCAGCCAGCCAAAGTGAGATTAAAAGCTACTTTTTACAAATAAATTTGCAAAAATGCGCTAAAAAGTTGATGATGTCTCCGAAATGAAAGTCTCTCAACGGTGTCTTGTAGATTGTAGAGCTCAAAAAGTGACAATGAGAAAGTGTTTTCTTTTTAAAATAAAAACAAAATCGGAATTTTCTGGGTTTCTTTACAGCATCCCGGCTTCATTTTTTATTTCTGATCTACAAAGTACATTAAAAATAAAAAAACCCGTGTGTCCTCAATTTTTATTTGCACAAAATTACACAAAATAAATTATTGAAAAGCTGTGTTTTTAGTCCGAATTTGAAACGTTTTAGTCTAAATACGTCACAAACCTACAATCAATCACGTAGAAGTGAGCCGGCAACCTTGTGCAAGGGTCTGACGTTTGTCGGATTTGACGTTTTAAGCATATATATAAGAGAAATATATGGTTTTAAGAGGCATGATTAACTGCATCTAACGCGAAAGTGAACGACAAGTGACAAGTGCCGGTGACAGGTGACGCATTTTACAAATGACATTCTCCTGCAATATTGCCAAGTCGTTATGTCATCTGAATGGTTCTAGGAGCTGATTAGTCGGGCTTATTACGTCACATAGCCCGCCACAATCATATCGTTTTGAATAAACCCTTAAAACCGCACATGTTCATTATTTTTTTGCTAATCAGCCTCTATTTTTAAATAA